TGCATTGTAAATTTATTTTGAAATGGAAAATCCAATGACACACTCTGTCAGATATGCTGACATACATTTACTCAAGTACTGTACAAGTTTTGAGCTGAGAAGCAACTGATCTACTTTGACCAAAATGACATATACACTTGATAAGTGTTGAATTTGTAGTCAAATGTATAATCATTTTCTGAAATGTTGATACTTGTAGGAACAGATTGAGAAATGCTGTTACGTTGTGCAGAAGAAACTAAATTTGGAGCAAATGTCAACCTTGTTTTGAAAACTTTGAAAATGGAGTCAAAGGTCTGGAGAAAAACATGAGTGATGTCATGATCGAAGCAGCAAATTTAATTCCATGTGTCCCGAAATGCACTCACACCTGATGTGCATAAATGAATTTTCAAAAATGAGAGCTGTGATTTGAGGAGACTGAAGAACAGCCAGACTCAACACCAGTAAAATCTTAATTCTGCAGCCTTTTCACCAAATGTCTGTCACTGTATCCGGTGCCCTGTAGTCTATATATATTTTGCCCCTGTCCTTCAGACAACCTGAGCACATTAATGTAGGATACTGGATTATAATCACTGATGGTAAATGTGTGGCCAGCGTTAACCGCCTTATGTACTTTTAATGTGAAGTACTGCTGATAGCTGCTGAACTTCCCACAAAGCATCAGTAAAGTCTTATGATGAAACCGTATTTTATTTTACTGGTCTGATTTTGAAAAGGGACAAAAGTTACCAAATACACGCAGTACAGTAAAAAGTACAACGGGTCTCTGAAATGCAGTAAAGTCCAAGTAGCCCATGAAGTAGTGGGAAAGCTAGATAGTCAGGTAAAGTACAAAAACTTCTGAATTGTACTTAAGTAGGCCAGTACAGTACTTGAGTACATGTACTTAGTTACGTTCCTCTGCTGGTCAACATATCTTACAGAACGTGGTGGTATTTGTTTGGATGCTACTTCAGACCCTGTGCACTTAGGTGAGCCATCTTGCCGTTAGACGATCTTTGTCCCTCCTCCTCTTCCTCTTCCTCCTCCTCCTCTCCCTCTGTCAGACTGAAAATAGATGCTTCTGGGCTGGTCTGGTCTGGTCTGGCGATTTTCAGCTCCTGTTTCGGCCAATTCCACCCAAAATAAACGGACAAAGATCGACGTCTGGTGACATCGAACCGGGGATTTCCCGCAGTTTTGCTGCCGAGCTCGGTTTTATTTACCACCGACCTCCTACAGACGCCTTTAAAAGCCTTCAGCAGCCTATTTGGTTTCTCTGCAGCCGAAGTGATGTCTGTCGCGGGGTTGAAAAAGCAGTTCCACAAAGCCACCCAGGTAAGGAGGGCGTCGTTTCTATCAGGTTGTCTGTGCTTTTGGTTTCACTGGGAAGCGGAACAGGTGGAACAGAGGTCGCTAAACATTGGCTGTGTCTTGTTAGAGCACCAATTTGAAAGAAAACAATTAAATTTGCATTAAATTCAGCTTTTAAAGCCTCGTGTTCTCATTAAAGAGTCTTTACTGTAATGAAATAATTCTGTCCAGGTTAAGATGAGGAGCGTGTCTTCATGTGAAAAGGTGAATTTTATTCAAATTCAACATTAAATCTCGTTTCCCCCTGAACATAAACGAGATGTATGGATAACGTGTGGTGTTTATTCTCGCGATGTTTTCATGCGGGAACACACCGTTTCAGCTCATGTAGGTGTAGGGTTACGTAATATTACACCCCAAAATGTGTGCATGTGTGTGTGTGTGTGCGCGCGCGCAGAGCTGATTGGCTGTCGCTGCAGCACCAGGGAATTCCCTCCATCATCCTTCTTTCCATCCCTCCATCATCCCGTTCTCTTCTCTTGTGCCCTCTTTAATGCACCTGATCCTCCCTCCATCTTTTCATTTCATCCATTCATCCTTCAGCAACATGTGCATCCCTTTTTTTTCTTTCCTTCCTGTCATCATCCGTCCATCATCTGTCTGTCTTTCATGATGCTTCTTCCATCCCTCCATCCTCCATCCCCACTGTCAGCTATCTTTCCTTTCTTCCTTTAAAACATTCCTCCATCCGTCAACCACCTTGACAGCTGTCCATCCCTCTATCTTCTCTACATCTCTTGCCCCTGGAGTCATCTCTCCATCATCAGTATAACTGTCCTTTCATCTCTTATTTTGCTTTCCCTCCATCTTCATAGATTTTTCCATCGTTTAGTTTTCTACCACCTCTCTGTCATCACTCCATCATTCCCATATATCCCACCCTACTTTTTCCACAGGAGTCACCCTTCCATCCTCCACTTGAACATCCCTCCATCCTCGCTCTTTCTGATCTCCTCCATCCATCCTGTAACTTGTCCTTTCCCTCTGTAGTCATCCCTCCATCTCTCATCATCCCTCATTTCTGTCCATTCATTAATCATTTGTCTTTATATTTTCTATGACATTCGCTCCATCATCCCTTTTTCCCTTCTCTGTCCTCTGTTTCTATCGTCCCTCTTCCATCCATCCTTTTGTTTGAAGTCGTCCTTTCTTCCTGCACCATCCTTCTTCTTTTCATGTTTCCATTTTCTCCTAAACATTCTTTCCTCATCCCTCCATCTTTTCTTATCATCACCCTGAGGATCCTGTCCATTATTCCCTTTGGCTCTCGACAACACTCCCTCCTCATCCTTATCGCTCTATTACCTTGTAATCATCCATTTATTTTTCCACCACACACTGTCCATCTTATACACGTCTTCCTCTCCTTCTCATTCTCCATCATCCCTCTGTCATCAACCTGCAGGTGTGGCATGAAGTTCAACATGAAGCCAGGCATCTTAAACTTCTTAAAACTTAGTTTTGTAACGGTCATGATGAAGGGAGGGAAGACGGGCGTGAACAGATGCTAAAGAGGGCGGCTCATGAGGGATCCCCCTGACCTCATGGCCTGTTTGTCGTCACCTGATGTCGAGTCTAAATGAGAGCTCATGGTGGAGAGAACCGGATGTGGCAGACAGATGGTAACGGTATGAGTCCGACCTGGCGGCTGGTTGCTTGGCCTCCACCCAAACACGCTGCTTCTCCTCTCTCACTGTGTCACTGCTGTTTGCTGTGAATAGAGTCTGGAAACCTTTAGTCTGCGACAGCCGCGCTGGCAGCTCTGTCCGGCTGTGCAGAGCCCTGTGCTAACATTAGCTACAGGACCTACAGTCGATACACAGCCAGGACTACTGCTGTTACCACTGCTGCTATTTCGAGTATTACTGTAGCTATACTACGACTATTAAAGCCTCTTCTTGGTACTACTACTCAGTGGTACTAATACTACTCAGTGGTACTACTACTACTACAATTGTAATACTGCTACTTACAGTAGACACATTCCAAACTTTTAAGCACTGAGGTCCTGTAACCTATCAGTAGTTGCAGAAGTTCAGGATTTAGCATCACTTAGCCAAATATTTCCTTAAGTTGGTAAAAAGGCTGACGTAGGTCTCAGGTCTTTGTAGGGTGGGTTGGGGTTGGGGTTACCCTAACCCTAACACTTAACCCATACACATATTGGTGTACAGTCTGCACTGGGAGTCAACAGAAAAAACTTTAAAAGCTTTTTCTCTGTCAGTCTGCTTTTTGTTTATCCACCATAGTTTTGTCTGAGAAACTGAGTGTAGATCAGTGGTAATGTTTATTTATTACGTTCATACAGTAACGTGAGGGTGTCACTAATGTCAGCAGAGGATCCTGGTCCTCGTCACGAAGCAGCTGGAGTATTTCTAGAAGGAGAAACAACATAAGAAAATCAGTTTGTCTGTCTTTTGTCCCGACTGTCATCAGGACAAATTCCTGCACATGTGTTGTGTCTGTCAAATGAAGCGCGGCTCATAAAGAGAGGAGATGATGTCTATTGATCCCTGAGGGGGAAAGTGGGTCGCTGCAGCAGAACAGAACAGGAAATAAAAACAAAAGGTCCAGCAACAGCAGCAGAGACGGGCTGTCCTGAAGCCTCAAGCTCCAGAGGACAAAGTGTCCTGGAAAACCTCCCCTCTGCTAATGCAATTAGCTTCTGGTGCTTTTTAATGTAACACAATCATCCAGAAGACACAGCTGCACAGGCCACCGTGTTCAGATTATGTTATTTAATCTGGCTGTGAATTCACATTAGTGGGAGTGAGGCAGGTGTTGGAAAAGGAATCATTTGTTTTTACATGCCTTCCACTGACACATGACGACACCTGTATCAGGTAAATAGTGTCAGGTTTAAAAAAGATGATAATTTTAGAGTTTTCAGACCTATATCATTCTAAATGTCCCTAAAACAGCTCTTTGTTATAGCTTGTAACAAACACACAAGGAGATTTGTCAGGGACTATTTTCATTGGCGGATGAACCCACATGTGCTTTGGCTCACTGATGGCTTTAAACAGTTTCTGGAAACAATGCAGCTCAATTGCACCGAGTAAGAAGATACTGTATGTCTCAACAGATTTGTTGGCGATAAATAAAAAATGGAGCAGAGTAGTATAGACTGAGTCACATGTCTGATGTGAGGTGGTGGCGTCTGTCTGAGGTGAGATGTTGACAGCATGAGGGCGGGCAGCGAGGCCTGAAATAGATCTGTGATTCAAGAACAGATGTTTACGGAAAGGGGGGCGGCAGGCGGCACGAGCCATCAGAGACTGGTAGCTGTGGAAACCAGAGATCTGTCTGTCTATCCATCAATCTATCTATCTGTCCATCTACCTAGCTGCTGTAGATGAACCGCTGAGACGCTGGCTGCCGTGATCAAGCCCATGGACATGGTTCATTCATGTCTGTGTGAAGCAGGCTGCAGACACACACCAGCACAAACGAACCTCCTGCGTGCTTTCCTGCAGAGGTGACGGATAATAACCTGTGATTATATGCAGCAGTGGTTCAATACAAATTTTTGCCTTGGAAGTTAATTGCAGGTTAAAATCTGCAGTTCAGTATAAAAATGATACACTGCCAGAAATCACAGGCGTTGTCCTGTGTGAATGTAAAAGTATTGTGTCATTAACTTTGACACGTTAAGTGGGTGTAACATAAAGGTCCAACTCCAGTGACGTTGGTGCCTGTTTCTCTAAGTTCAGACTCCATTTCCCATAAGCCCTGCTGTAAATCATGGTTTTCTGTATTGAAATAACTTTTCCTTTTTCAACAAGCAGCTCCAGAGGCTGAGAGCAGCCGTCGCTCTCAGCCCTGTCGACTTCTTACACACAACATGCATCTGTTCAGACTAATTCACTCTCCTAATTTGTTTATTCAGCAGTTTTGGCAGCTGGCTTGTTTTACTTTTAATCAGGGTTCAGTGGGTTTGTCTCAGGTGTGTGCGTACTGCCTGCTGGTGGTGAGGAGCACCATCACGGGGGCCTGAGGGTGAATGAGGAAACTCTCAAACTTGATATGAACGCCAGCTTCCTGTCCGCTGAGACCTGAATCTGGAACACGTCCCAGCATGACTGTGTTCATACATGTGATTCTCCTGCACTTGTGTTTGAACAGATGGATAATGAACTGAGAGAACAGAGGGTGGCGTCAGCGTGAAGCCGGCTGCTCGGTCACGGTGCCCTCGACCAAGATGGCTGCCACCGGCACCGTTGCCAACAGGAGCAGGAAATGAGACACCTCAGTCCACCTGTGTGAATAAATCATGAGAGAGAGAGATGGAGTGAAGAGAGAGATTGACGCCTGAATGTAGATCAGCTGGAGAGGGATTAGAGGTCGGGATGGGTTCTCATGCCGGTTCCATGTTGGGTCCAGTTCACATTCTATTGATTCTACTGGATAGAGTAGATAGTGCTGCAAAAAGGTCGCTGCACTTTTAAATCCAGGGTTTTCTGGAGAGCACTGGTGACAAAGGGGAGCCACAAATCCTTTATTTAAATATGTATCTACTGTCCGACATGTTAAAATAAGAACTTAATTTCTGAGAGGAATGAGCGCTCGGTGTCCGGATCCTGCCAGTGTCACGCCGTGTTCTGTGGCCTGTGCGTTGTAAACACCGGTGATTTATCCACTGAATGTCTTTTACTTTGGTTTCTGTGGCGTGTGCAGCACAGCCCCCTGTGGCTACACAGGGTTAATGAAAGTCATAGAGCTCTGATGAAGTATGTGCTGAAAGCTGCACAGAGCCGTCAGCACAGCAGAATGCCCGTGGTTAGTTAATCACCACAGTTTATATTAACGTCACTGTCGGGCTTGTCTGCTGATTGGACCATAAATCTCAGTTAAATCTTCTGTCAGCCTAGAGGCCGACGAAGACTTTAAGTGGAGGAGGTTTAAGCTGGTTTCACAGATGATACCGTTGTTCTCCAGGAAGAGACCTGTGGCTGTTACATCAG